AGCAGACTCATTTTTTATCTAATGGAGAGTTTTATGATCAGACGGACTGTGTTGCGATAAGCTCTCCCTTAGCACCCATACTTCCTAACATTTTATGGGCTCAAATGAACGAAACTGGCCAAACAATTACGACACTAAACCGCTATTTTACCGCAGATACGTTGACGATATTTTTTGTGTTTTTACTAACGAAACTGAGGCCATGAAATTGTATAATTACATCAACAAACAACATGCAAACATTAGATTATTATTCGAAACTAAACAAAAAAGATCAACTACCATTTCTTAACATTTTACTAACAAAATCCCATGACTTCTGTATAAGTTCTGAGTATCAACAAATTTAAAAAACATTTAATAAAAACGACTATTTTTTTAGAAGAAAACATGTTTCAAAATTAACACAGTGCCATCTTCAGGGCGAATGATAGTCTTTGAAATATGATACCGTATTGAAAGATGTGATTAAATTATTTACATTGAATGGGATGTGTGTGAGTAAGTCGTTTGTAAGGTTGCCGGTGATTGCTATGATCTGTTCAGGGAGGGTTTGTTCCAGTTGATATGCCAACTTTCTAATGTAAGCCATTGTCTATAGTCAATGCTGTAAATAAATCATTTTGCTGAATCCCAGTCATTGTTCTACTTTGTCAGTCGGTGATGTTCAGCAATGTGATTAGTTTTGTCTTGTTTCATTCTAACTCGTTTGTGTGTTATAAGTCTTAAGTTTAAGTTAAAGTCATTTCTAAAGAAAACGTTGGACTTAAAGGATGGATTAGAACTTCAAATACCTGGAATTTTCAATGACGATATTGTTTCATCTTTAAAGAAAAACGGTTTTCTTGACAGGAGATGTTAAAATGGCAACAAATTGGCACCTGCTGATTTCTCTCGCCCTAAACCAAAGTATCCATCCATCAACTCAATCAGCACTCCACCTTTTTCTCCTTCAGATTGTAAACACATAGACAAAACTAACTTCAACTTGTTAAATACATTGACAATGTTTAAATATGAAAATCATACATTGGAAAATAATGGACTGCTTTTAATGTTCTCTTCTGATTTAAATGATCGCAACGTATGCTTGCAAAATTTATAAAATTAGATCAATACACATTTGGTATTTATCACAAATTCATACTTTCTCACAGTGTCATGACTATGTGAGATCCACAGGAAACTTTTTCATTTCTTATCTCACCTGGAATCATCAAATGCATCTTCATTTAAGACTTGGTAGATATTATTAATCTAAAATAAATTTTATTACATGCTCTTATAAATGACAGTTTGCTGCAAACTGGCAAATGAAAAGACAATTATTTATTGTATTCTTAGAGCGTGAATATCCTTATGTTAGTACAACTACTATACAGACAAGCACAGTTTCTTCATATGCTTTCCCATTTTTGATAGAGAGAAGACTTCTTAAAGTTTAATACATCACAAAACCTTTTTAAAGATACATGGCATTCTAACAACAATTTTTCAGCAAGATTCACCAAAGTAAAGTGGAAAGCTACAGCAGGTCGAGTAAATTTAGCCTGACCATAACTGCTCCTTTACAAGAGTAACAGCTGAGTCATGGGAACATGTAACTAATTTATCAGGCATTTCAAGTGAAATACAAGTTTTTTTAAAGTAAACATGTTTTGGCATGCTTATGCTATCTTCAGTAATTTGGGATGTGACGGGGCGGGTGGCTGAATTGCGTGAGCTATAAGCCAGACGGCGTGGGTTCAATTCCGGCTCGTGGCACATCTGGCAATGTGTCTGTAAAACCTAGCCCGGGTTGACCAAAGCCATGTGAGGGAAATTTGGTAGAGGAAACTATGTCCTCGGATGGACTGTATCGACATCTGCAATGTTGCAACCTTGTCACATTGTGTCACGCTGATATCAGCGTTGTAGTTGCGTGAAAGGTACAAGTGATTGTAGTTTGGTCAGCTGCCTTCACTATAATTTCATTAACCAGGATGTTCCACTTTGTGTGGAACCCTCATACGGAGTCCATTAATTTGGGATGTAATTCCCGTTATATTGGTGAGACAACTCGCCATCTCTCCACACGCATCAAAGAGCACACACATTATGACAAAAACTCACACAGTTACAAACACCTCCACATTTCACCACAATGTACTTCCAAAAACAAGGCTAGTTGTATGCTTAAATTGACTTCAAGTGCATTTCTAGCATAGTAAATGTGAAGTTAATCAGAAGATTTCATAATTCCAACAAAACTTGTGATTTCTCAACTTTTTGAATTTCTCTGTAAGGACTGCCATTGTATATAAATAGGTATAGCAACACCTGTATATTTTTGTGATGAAGTCTAATAGGGAAAGATAGAAATGGCATGAACCAGAACAACGGAAGTAAGGCACAAGGTATACGCTTGAGTATGCAAATTAATCTTCTACTACATTACTATGATAACCAAAGCATAAAAAATATTGCAGTCAAGTAACATCA